AAAGTGTACCTGCTGTGGCACTTGGACAAAAGTTCTCATAAACCTTGCCTTTAACTTTCCTCTTATTGTCATCCTCTCCCACAGATACAAATTTTACCAAAATATAGCCTTTTTTAAAATAAAAAGGACACAAACACCACCCCCCACTATTATTTGCACATGACATTTCTTACCTCCAATGTTCTGAATTATTATCGTACTTGCCACAAGAACCTATAAAACAATTACTTTTTTTAGAAAAGGGCAAGGAAAATTAAAAACAAAATTTAAGACTGTATCAGTCAAATTCCATACCTATTATCTTAAACCAAATATAAAATTGAAAATTAGTACTGAAAGGAAGGACATTTGCTGTTAAGTGACTAGTCTGTATTACATTTGTTTTCATGCTATAATAGCAAAAAATCTTCACCAGAATACTGCATTTTCATTTTGAGATGCAGAACAAAGGTAGTTATAAATGAAGTGTGCCCTTTAGACAGCTTATACTTATATCATTCAGAGGGCATATGAGTGTATTCTAATAATTTTCTTAGAGCTTCACTGCATCTGTCATTCACCACTGAAGAGACAATCAAATAGATTTACATGTACTACATCTCAGCCTCCTGAGAAACTACGAATATCTGATAATGAACCTTGAATTTAATTCTCTTTAGAATATTAAAAATGTACTCTTAAATCAGAGATTTTTTTAAATTAAAATTTCTGGTTGTTTGTAGGACCAGTGCTGAGAAAGAAGTGTATCAGTCCAGAAAGCACTGAACTGATCCAAGTGTATCTAGCCTTTCGTAGGCATCTAGGCTTGAGAAGACCTTAAAATGCATCATCTATGAGGCTAGCATGCCATCTTGCTATATATACGAAAATCGGTTTGATTACATTATTTTGGTTTATATTAGTTCAATATACCTGGCTGTAACACAGGGAACCTACAGGCCTGTATTCTGTATGATTAGCTAGAACAAGATACCTTAATTGTTTGTAACCTTTGGCATAGAAACATTTTCTACCAGTTACCCTTTTGACTTTGGAAAACTGAATGGAGAACTGAAGGTGTTTACCAGAATTCTGCAACACACCTGTTCCAGGGTACACTGCAAGAACATGGAAGTAACAGTTTGGGCCAAAGACAACCATTTTGAGAATGAGATAATATTCATAAATGTTAATATGTTAGAACAAGCTACTCTATAGAGTAAATGTACCCTAATATTTATCTGGATGAGGAAATAAGATTTGGACATGGGCACTGTCCCATGCTAGGACCTATAACAGGGCAAACTCCCATATTGAGGAATCTTTCTCTTAGTTACCGATCATCAAGTTCTCTTCTGTTAAGCTATCAGCTCAGCTTCTGCACTATACCTTACTTACGCAACACCCAAGCTTGATCTCTACCATTCTGAGATTGAGGAACCTGGACCAAACTCACTGGATGTGCCCGAGATGAGGTTAGTCCTCTGTTTCCAATCACCAGGTCCCCCATAAAGGGTATGAGTATGCTACTTTAAGTAGATTTTGTAAAAGGGATGTTACTATCAGAAATTATAGAAGTGTACTATTTCTTTGTGGTTCTGTAATTTGATTACTCTCTCATTTATTTTAATAACTCTCTTAATAATTTGACTTTGTCCTCAGTGTGGATGTCCTTGCTGCACACCTCAAGAATCCGGACAAGGTACTGAACTCTCTACATTCTCTAATTCAGTAGCAGGATTTTGGGACAAGATAACGTCTTCTGGTCACAACATTGGGAAGCTTATAATAAAATCAACCAACCTATAAAATCAGGTTAACAAATTACTTTCCTGTGATTACTATCTTGTTTTCTTTCTAGTTCAATTCCAACATATAACTGTGGACCAAGATGGTAGGTACTTATTTTGTGGGCACAAAGTTAGTAAATACATAACAATCAGCATTTGAATATTACAATGTTGGGTACAATGGGAAAAGAACAGAGGATGCTGAAAACCTGGATCAATTTTTGCACGTCATTCCAAAGCTGGGATTCCAATCTTTCAGATAGTTGTAATGTGTTGCAAAATAGCAGCTATTAAAATCATGGCAGAATGGAAATTGAGAAAAAAAAGCAAGATGAATATGACATTTCTAAGAAATGTGAGGCCTCGTCATTTGCCAAGACCGGAAAGAAATGTTGAAAAGCTGGTAATTTTAGCTGTCTGGCAGCATTACACAGCATAAACCACACTTTTCTGGTTCTGATTGCTTGTGGTTAACAGATTTAGAATGGCTATGATAAAAAAAAGCTATTTCATATTTTGTTAAACATCAAGATTTATTACTAATTGAGGTAACCTGATCTAAGCTTAGTTTTGGTCAATAACTACTGAAACTCACCTACACTAGAGTCATTATTCACTAATTAATGCTACTGGAAGTTGTACACAAGGGAACCAACAGCCTCTGCAGGCTCCTGGGCAAGGTGGGAGGCTCCAGCACAATAATCTTGAAAGGGGTGGGGCCTCAGGCGAAAGAGGCGGGGTCAGGAGCCGCCAGCTCTCCACAATGCTCGGAATGCACTGCCAAAGTAGGTGTGGTGACTGGGAGCCAGGGGACACTTTGAATCGCCAGGTTTTGGGGCAACTACTCCCGCCCTCCATCCCATCAGCAGACCAGGCTGCACACGCCTAATGGGCCAGATGTTAATCTCATTTACACCAACTGAATCAGAGATCAGAATCTGGCCAGTAAAGCAGAAAAGACTTCTGCCTTGTGCTTTTTTTTTTTTTCTTCCTTCTTCAAAGAAATTGTTTTAAAAGGCAAACTTGTATTAACTCTGTTTGGTAGTTCTCACACAACCTAAAACACAGACCATAAGAATGATAATGGAGAACGTGTGATGTCCAATAGACTTCCCTCCCAATTGTGGCTGTGTGATGGGTATCCAACCTACACATGGCAGAGCAGGTTAAATTAGGTCAATTAACCTTATATGCTGCACCTGGAAGAGAGCTAGAGATCGACAAAACCAAATGAAGTAATAGTTCAGTTGGGAAGGAGCAAGTTGGGCCTGTTTAAAGAAATGAAGCTGAAAACAAAAGGGAGCTAAAGAGGAAGTACCTAGTTGGCAGCCACTCCCTGAGGAACAGGAGGAAGTATTCTACAGTCACACCCCTCCTCCCCCCTATAAGCGAAACAGGAGTCAGTGCTGGGGAGAGCCGGCTTAAAAGCTGGTACCCCATAGCACCGTCTCCAGGGTGCCGCCACAAACAGGGGCTGGTGCCAGAGCAGATAGGACCTAGTAGCCCCAGCTTACTCTGATTGCTGTGCCTCTGCATGTAAATGTAGTAAGAACCTGGCAGCTCTTATTACATTTAAAGTGCAGAACTGCAGCATGGGTGGCTTCAGGAGCTGGCATGAGCCGGGACTGCTCGTTCCAGCTCAAGCTGGCTCCTGGAGTTACCCCCGCTGCAGTTCTACAGAGCAGTCCTATCGACTATACGATTAACCTGATAACTGCATTTTAACATCCTTATTCATATCTGTGAAAAATGTGTCATGGACAGTGAAATAAGCCCTTCTCCATGAAATCTTATCTTCCCTCTTCTACTAAGTGGGACCCGAGACAGGGGGCTCCTAACTGCAAGTTTCAGCTGGGCTCAGGAAGGAGTGCACTTGTCCTTTTCTTGCATAGCTGCTCTTGCTGGAGGGGGGGGGAGGGGTTGGGGGGGGGGAGAAAAATCAGATCCACCCCAGAGTATCTCTCCCTGCTGCAAGAAACTCCAGCCCCAGAGGTTCCTGCAGCTGGAGGAGATATGCGGAGGTGGGTCCAATATCTCCCTGCTGCTGGAAATGCCTCAGCCAAGAGGTTCCTAGATAAAAACCCTTGCTGAACTGGTGAGGACAGTGCATGCGGTGATGGGTGGGGATCAGACTAACAGTCGGGTTCTTTTTGTGGGACTTCCACAGTTACAACACTTATATTTCAGATGTAAACAACTGAAAATATGAAACTGGCCAATTTTAAAAACCTTCTGGCTTTAAAAATTGATAAAAATGGACTATGAATTTGATAGGGCCCTATGTAGAGACATTTGGGCTCAGACTCAAACTGAGTGAGGGTCTTGGAGCCTGGGCTCTAGCCCAAGCCCAAACATCTACACTACTATTTTTAACAGGCTTGCAAGCTTGAGTCAGCTGACCACGGCTCTGAGACTCACTGCCAAAGAGGTGTGCTGTGTAGACATTCCAAAAGTTCTCAGAGTTGAAGGACCACAGTGACTCATTCTGAGGCATCTGTAAACAGATTGTGGTAATACTGTGCAGAATTTTAGTGTCCTATAAAAACCATGCGAAATGGAGTACTGGGCTGACTATGTGGTAGCACAAACTAACATACTAACAGTGGTTTTCAAACTCTGCCTCCCCCCATGTCTGATTTGAAGAAAACTATTGATGCCCGCAACCCAACATAATCTGACTTGAGTGTGGGTTGAGGAGGAGAGCATGTAGGAGGGGGTTCTGGCTTTTTTTTGGGAGGGGGGTGTCAAGGCTGGGGCAGGAGGGGCTTACCTTGAGTAGCTCCAGGACAGAAGTGCAGTAGGTGTGCTAAGGCAGGCTTCCAGCCTCTCCTGGCACCCAGATCATGCTGCAGCCCGGAAACAGCCAGCAGCAGGTTCCCAGCCTTAGTGTTCAGGGCAGGGGCAGTACTAAGAGCTCTGTGCACTCTCTCCCTCGCCCCCACCTAACAGCCAGGCCTGCTGCTGATGCCTGGGACACAACGTAGTCTGCTATGCCAGGACAGGCAGGTAGACTGCCTTAGCACCCCCACTGATCACCTGATCACCCTGCAGCAATAAGACCCAGTGCCTGACATTCCATGACCCTATACTGGGTCATGACACAGAGTTTGAAAACCACTGCTGTAGTAAATACTATCTGTATCAAACTAATATAGGGACTGGAAAGTCACAACATTTTCCTTCAAGATTTGTATTTAAACAGAATACACCACCATAAATTAAAGTTATCTATTTTAAGGCTAATTAAACTTTTGGCCTACATAGTTTAGAATGGAAAACTGGGAAGTATTATTAAAAAGACCCCATAGGATTTGTACAATGTTAGGATTTTGTTACGCTACACAGCCATTTCTTAAATAGGAATGATGCGATTAAACTATTTATCAGAACTACAAAATAAAACAGACATGGGTAATATAAACAGAAGTTACCTTCCCAGGGGATCCAAATGCAAAGAGGCCAAGGTCTTCATACGAAGTGACAGCTGTTGAAAACAAAAGTATTTCCAACTTCATATTCACTTATGAATATTTGGGTGCATTACTTACACTGACAAAACTAAAACTGTATTTTTAATTCTCATTTATAATAAAGCTTTGGGATATAACAATTGATATACACACAATTACCTGTATGCTCAATAGAAATTTATACTGCAGTAGTTTTACATTAATCATGATTACAAATACATGGATAACATCACATACTCCTTAAGATTCTTGCAGATTATACTGAGACTAAACATTTCTGAACAATATTCATTAAACAAGTTATTTAATTTCAGTCTCATAAATCTTTCAAGAAACACAAGCCTCAGTGCCACTTCTGTAAGCGTGAATACCTCCCGCTCCCACTGGTTTCAGGAAGAGCTAAAGATGCACGATACTTTGCAAGGTCAGGCCCTAAAAAACCCTCGCTACAGATCTTTACATATAATGTAACATGCACTGATGCTCAGCTTCAAAAAGTAATCCCCTGGCCTAAATCACCATAATGAAGTAATCCAAGATTTCCAATTTATATATATGCTAGTAACTTAAAAAGAGATCATTCAGAATGGAAAATTGTTGGTCAGTCCACATGTAAATTATGCTAAAAAATGCTAACCCTTTCTTCTGGTCCACATTAATGCAGGACATGGCTGATATTCAAACTGGTGTATGTATTTTAGCTGGCAAATCGGTCTTAAACACATGATTTTATTTTCATAAATTCTTATACTCTTTCTTCTGACTTAGACCCTTTGTAGTGTGCTTTACCATCTCTTCCCATGTCACAACTTATTTTGGCCCTATTCCTGCAAGATGATCTGTCAGGATAACCCCCACAAGCCAAAATCCTCTGAAGTCAACGCAATCAATATCACATGGGAGAAAGTATTAGTTGGCATCAATCAGGTTGCAGGACTGGTGCTTCAGACTAAACTCCTCAAGAAAGAGTCAGTTATTTGTCTGTAAAGTTGCACACACAGTAATAATTACTGGAGCACAGATAAATAACACAGAACTTAATCATCTTGTGGGCCTTTTGCAAGTCCACATTCCTGACTAGTGCCATCATCAATACCTTGTGCAAAACCAAAATGGGCCAGAGTCTGCTGTATTATGTCAGTATAAACCTGGAGTAACTCTGTATTTACATTTGAATTTCAGTCCTCTAAATAGTGGGGCAATTACTCTCAATTTTTCAAAAGCTTTTAGATTTAGAAAGCAAAATAGACTTGGTTTAAAAAGACATGGTAACTTAGCAAAATCATGATTTCTGAAACACATTGCAACACAATGGAAACTGAGTTGAATCCATTGAGGTGAAACTGTCAATTACTATACCAGCAACACTGATGGCTGCACACCTGACATATAAAAACGTAGCAGCAACAGCTCACAATAGTGCCATCAGTTATCTTAACCTTCTGTTCCTGCAAAATAATTCCAGTTCCGTTAGTGAGATATAGCCAACTGTGCTAATTAATAGCAAGCACTAATGAACTGATATAACTGTAGACTGAACAGCTCAACACACAGCTTGGGCATACACAACAATGTTTATCTGCTAAGCCATTTGACCGCTATTTGTAATTAGAGTCAGTCACTGTTACAGATCCGTAGTATTTGTGTAATTAAAAAAAGATTAGAAGCACATCTCCAATAAAACACTATGACTAACATTTGTGCTTAATATATCAGTGTTACTTTAAAATGGAACTAATAGAGAAGCTTCCTCTGCAAATAGCTACATGGCTTTTCTTTTTACACTCATTTTTCATGGTGACTTGGTGTCACCTCAATGGACAGTTTATAAATATTTTCAAGGTACCATAAAAGTATAACCCTAACTCATTCTTTAGAATTAACCACTGCAATTCCTTCTTACCCAACCTCAGTCACACATTAGCTCATTCTTGTAGGTTTGTTGACAAATGCTGATTGGCTGCATCTTTAACATTCAATGTCCTGTTTTGAAGAATACCTCATGTATAAAGAACAATATACGTCACACAGAGACAGACATAGTAAGTCAAACTTGTGGACTTTCAGCCGTACCAGGTTGCAACTGAAGTCCAGCAATGTTCTGAAAACAGAATTATCATGGTTTTTACAGGAATCATTGACCAAAACTATATTAAGTGCCATCATCTAAAAACATTAAAAGCCTATAAGTTTCAATCCAGGAATTTTAATACAGTTTTATGCAGCAGTACTTCACTGAATACTTGTGGTTCTAGTTTAGCCTGGTAATGAGCTAACTGAAGAGTAATTATTATTTGGAAAGGTGTTCTTTCAAAGCATGTGAAAAAAATTGATCTAATCACTTTACGGTCATTGCCTCCTCATACTTGTAAGTTATTAGTATATAAAATAATACTTCCCAGAAGATCATTACCTTATGGATAATGTCTTAGATACCTAGAATATAAAGAGCGTTAACTTTGAGAGTTTAAACCAAGTGAAAAGTTCCTTTACTGTAAAATAGCTTTTTTTCCATTTCTCCCCTTTACCCTGTCCTTTTACTTTCCTTAAACCAAGTGAAAAGTTCTTTTGCTGTAAAATAGCTTTTCTTCCATTTCTCCCCTTTACCCTGTCCTTTTACTTTCATTTGCACTAAGTTGTCTACGAAGACTATAAATAAAATCAATGTGAAACCACCACTATTTAGGACAGGAGTTTTCAAACTTTGGGTCAAGGCTTGTCAGGTAAACCTCTGGCAGGACGCAAGATGCTTTGGTTACCTGAGCACCTGACGGCATTGTCTCTCTCAGCTCTTGGCGGCTGTAGCTCACTATTCCCAGCCAAATGTGAGCTGCGGTAAGTGGTGGCCCGCAACACTTTGCCGTTCCCAGACAAATTAAGCTGAGGGAAGTGTTACAGGCCACCACTTACCGCAGCTCACATTTGGCTGGGAACAGCAACCTGTGGTCACCAGGTTCTGAGAGAGGTGATGCCTGTGGACACTCAGATAAACAAATATATCATGGCCCACTAACAGCTTAACCTGACAAGCCATGACCCAAAGTTTGAAAAACCCTGATTTAGGAGGTATACAATATGAATATGCTATGTTTTTAATCCCATTTTACAGATGTGAAGAGATTAAATATCTTCCCCAAAATCAGATATATTCTGTTTTATCTATCCCTTTCTTAATGATTCCCAACATTCTGTTTACTTTGTTGCCTGCAGCTGCACATTCAGTGGATATTTTCAGAGAAATATCCACAATGACTCCAAGGTCTCTTTCTTCAGTGGTAACAGCTAATTTAGACCCCAGCGCTTGATATGCACAGTTGGGATTAGGCTTTCCAATGTGCACCATTTATCAACTTGAAATTTCATCTGCCATTCTGTTGCCTAGTCATCCAGTTTTGTATGATCCTTTTGTACCTCTTCACAGTCTACCTGTGATTTAACTACCTTGAGTAGTTTTGTATTATCTACAAATTGTCATTTTGTGTTTTATCCCTTTTCCAAGATCATTTTGAAATGTTGCATGTCCTTTTGTACCTCTTCACAGTCTATCTGTGATTTAACTATCTTGAGTAGTTTTGTATTATCTACAAATTGTCATTTTGTGTTTTATCCCTTTTCCAAGATCATTTTGAAATGTGTTAATAGGACTAGTCCAGAAAAAACATGTGGGGAAACCACCAGTGACCCTTCTCCAGTCTGAAAACTGACCATTTATTCCTACTCTCTGCTTCCTATCTTTTAACCAGTTACTAGTCCATGAGAGAACCTTCCCACTTATGCCAGGGCAGCTAACTTTAATTAAGAGCCTTTGGTGAGGGCCCTGTCAAAGTCTTTCTGTAAATCAATGTCCACTATTATCCACATGCTTGCTGACCTCCTAAAAAAATTCTAGTTGATAGGTGAGGCATGATTTCCTTTTAGAAACACCATGTTAACCCTTTCCCAACAAATTATGCTAATCTATATGCCTGACAATACTATTCTTTACTATAATTTGGTACTGAAGTCAAGCTAACCAGCCTGTAATTGATGGGATCACCGCTAGAAAACTTTTTAAAAACTGATATCATATTAGCTATCTTCCAGTCATTTCATAGAGAAGCTGATTCAAAGGATAGGTTACAGCAGTGTCTCTCAACTTTTTTTTTACAAAGTATCTCTTTAAAAAAAAAATTATAAGTACCCCCAGTATCTATAGTTTTCGGACAATTTTTTTTCTCTACCATTGCAACACATTTGTTTAAACAACTTAATCGTAGCCAGGTAGGCGATGAAATTTTTGGGTGTAAAAAGTACAAAAATAATAAAGCGCTGTAAAACTTAAAACAAAAATTCAGTTTTATCCAAATTTCAGTTGTGTTGACATACCCCCCCAGACTTCTCTCGAGTACCCCAAGAGTACTCGTACCACTGGCTGAGAAACACTGGGTTACAGACTATGGTAGTTCTGGAATTTCACCCAAGTGTTTTGAAGGAACTCAAATGTAAATGTCCTCTGGTCTTCCTGGCGACATGACTGTTTAGTTTATCAATTTGTTCAAAAACCTCTTCTAATGACACCTCAATCTGGGACAGTTCCTCAGATTTGTCACCTGAAAAGAATGGCTTAAGTTTGAGATCTGCCTTCCCTAATCAGCTCTGAAAACAGATGCAAAGAATTCATTTAGTTTCTCTGCAATGGCTTTTTCATCCTAAAATGCTCCATGAGCATCTCAATTGTCCAGTGACCCCACTGATTGTTTAGCAGCTTTCCGGCTTCGGAGGCACTTAAAATTACTATTACTTTTTGAGTCTTTGGCTAGCTGTTCTTCAAATGTTTTCTGGCCTTCCTAATTATATTTTTATATTTCATTTGGCGGAAATTATGCTACTATTTTCCTCACTAGGATTCAACTGATGCTTTTTAAAGGATACCTTTTAGCCTCTCATTGATTCTTTTGTTGTTTAGCCATGGTGGTACTTTTTTGGGTCTTTTTTTTTCTCCCATTTGGGGTATACATTTAAGTTGAGCCTCTATTATAGGGTCTTTAAAAATTTTCCATGCAGCTTGCAGGGATTTCACTTCAGTTACACAGAAATTAAAAAGTACAATGCCAAATCTCTCATTTTTGTATAGTTCCCCATTCTGAAATTAAATGGTACAGTGTTGGGGTGCTACAGTGTTTTTCCTGCCACAGAATATTAATTTTATATTATGGTCACTATTACCAAGCATCCAATTATATTAACCTCTTGGAATACATCCTGTCCTCTACTTAGAACTAAATCTAGAATTACCTCTCCCTCTCTGGGTTCCAGAACTAGCAGCTTCAAGAAGCAGTCATTTAAGGTTTAGGAAACTTTATACCTGCATCCTGTCCTGAAGTGACACCTATTTTTTATGTTAATAACCTCTCTAATTTTCCTGAGCATTTCACTATCACCAACCTGACCAAATGGTCAATAATATATTCCTACTGTTACATTTGTATTAAAGCACACAATTACTATCCATGAAGATTTTAAGATACAGTTTGGTTCAGTTTGGTTCATTTAAGATTTTTTTTACTTCATTTGATTTTACGCTTTCTTCCAGCACGACCTGTTCTGTCCTTCCAGATGCCTTTGTGCCTTGGTATTACTACGTCCCAGTGATTATTCTCATTCCACAATGTTTCTGTGATGCCTATAATATCAATATCCGTATTCAATATGAGGTGTTCTAGTTCATCCATCTTATTATTTAGACTCCTAGCACTAGTATATAGGCACTTTAAAAACTTGGCAGACAGGTAAAAAGTGATATATGAATTAACTGAATTGTAATATTTTTCATTTGGCTTTTTCTCATTAGATGCTACCTGTGTTTTATTATTTTCCTTCCTCTCCTCCTTACTAGGACAGAGAATGTCCGTTAATAGATCCACCCCTTAGGGATGTCTCTGTCTACCACAATATTGGGAATAGAACCTATGTCTGCAGTGCCTTATTCACTGCATGGATACCTTCTATGAGAAATGATAAATATTCTATATTAAAAGATTGTGGTACTGCAGGCCATTAGAGAGAAAAAGGTAGCCACCATCTAGTCCAGAAGCATCAAGCAGCCATTGTACCTTATATGAAAGTATCCCTAATCTATACTGATTTTTTTAAGTGTGCATACAGGAGATTAATCAGTAGATGAAAATGGAAACAGCAGCTTCCACATGGAATCAAGAAATAGTCAGCTGAGTGACCAAAGCTAGCTATGGAAAACAAAGCTTTCTGCTAGCATGAAACCACCCTTAAAGTGAGGAAAGCAGATGGTGTGGTAATGACAAGATGGATGATAGAGACAGAGGCCATGTTATACCAGAACACCTCCATGTAATAGAATTTAAGGAACTGGCATCTTAAGGTTTCAACCAGAGTTTTAAAAACGCATGAGTTAAATCAGTAGGTGGTAACAGATTAGATATTGTACAGAATAAAGACTCCAAAGCAAACATTCCTGTTAATACTAAGGGTCTAGGATCAGAAGTCACATCACAATCAAGTAGTATTAGATGATCTCTAAAATAGAAAAGGTATATAAAAAGCAAGGGAAAGGATAATGGTCAAATCAATGTACCAGGACTAAAGAGGTATCTATTAAAGTGAAAGTGAAGGTGCTAATTTAGGGCTTGCTGCTACTCTTATAACTTCAAAGAAAGAAGCAGTATCTTGGAGTGCATATATGTAAATAAATACAATGCCTGAATCCAGAAGGTATGAAAACAGTCTTTGAATCCAAAAGGTATGAAAACCCCAGAGCCCGGGGTTGAGTATTCAAGCCCTGCCTACTTCTGGAGAGATGGAGCTGGCATCCTTTGAAGGTAGGGCTTTGGGATGCTGGTGATAACTGAGCACGAAGCTAGTGATGGCTGAGGGTTGAGTCCCACCCATCCTGGAGGTCAGCCACCACCAGCCTCCCAAGGGATAGAACTGGCACCCTTGGAATACAGGCAGGATAAGGGGGCCAAGGGATGGAGGTAAACCAGATATTTGCCATTTTTCCTACATCTCTGCAAAATTACTGGAGTTCAGAAATCATTCTGTGCACACCTCCAGTTGCAAAAAAGTTTCAGTCACAAAGTTTCAGAAGTAGGACAATGCTTCAAATTCACACTAATGGATGAGTTATATAACAAAATAAGACAAATCTTTATTTGGCCTTTTCAAAATCTTACAGCACTAGTGAAAGATATAGCATATTTAGATACTATTAATTCAAAAAATTAGAAGGTCACACCTTTGAAATATAGATATGAGAAACTATAGACTATTGTTCTACACATATTATTTTCACTTACCAGTCTGAATGCACAAACTGAGCAGCAGAAATACAGAATAAGAAGCAAGGCTGGCAACAATCAGCAGCAAGATACTAAAATATAAAATGTTCAAGTATAAGGAATTTCTTAAAGTAAATACATGTTCTCTTTTTAAAGCTGATTTATTATTGCACAAGAAATAATCATCATGAGACAGAACTTCCTCATTTTATGGCTCACATCTGCTGACCAAAGTTCATATGGTCACTGACTTATCTGCTGTTTGCTACGTTCCACTACACTTCACATTTTTATGTGCTAGACTTCAAGTCATCACAGATTATGTAGGCAAAATAGTGATAGAAATGTAGCCGTGTTAGTCTGGTGTAGCTGAAACAAAATACAGGACTCTGTAGCACTTTAAAGACTAACAAGATGGTTTATTAGATGATGAGCTTTCGTGGGCCAGACCAACTTCCTCAGATCAAATAGTGGAAGAAAATAACCAACTGCCCCCCCGCCCCCGGCATCGCCCTTCTGTTCTGAAATTTGATTTGTCCTTTTCATATGTGTTCATTTTTTTAATTGTATCCTTTGGTATACAGGCAGTCCCTGGGTTACGTACAAGATAGGGACTGTAGGTTTGTTCTTAAGTTGAATCTGTATGTAAGTCGGAACTGGCGTCCAGATTCAGCCGCTGCTGAAACTGACC